CCCTAGAGCATTTTTACTTTATCTTCCCCCTTTATTTTATTTATCTAACTTTACTTAAAACAGATTTGCTAAATGGATCTTTACACCAAAAAAAATAATATAAAAAAGATTATATATATACAATTCATTTTAATTTCAGGAGACGTCTCCCTAAATCTCTGACTCATGAATACTTTAACTACAACAAGGACATTGTCAAAAGTGTTTGCAATCATTGTAATGTAAGTAAAAATTTCATTCGGAATACTTTTTTGTGCACCCCCTAAAATGTTTTGATCCCCCTCATTTACATAAGAAAATCAGAAGTAGGGATAAGAAAATGCAAGTTTGTGGAAGAAAACTAATTCCTTTCTTTAATAATGTTTCCCATTTTTAAAAATTTGCTGAATGTTTGCCTGTAAAAAGGATATAAAAATTGCTTTCTGATTTCAACATCCCCCCCCCCTCCTCCGAATAGTTGAAAAATAATTTTATTCTGCATAAGTTAAGTTGTTTCCACGAAATAATTTTTAAAAAAAAAATAAAGGCTTTAATTTACAATTTTTGGGTAAATAGAATTAAAGAAGATGTAAATCTTTTAATGTCAAATTTTTTCACAGAAATTAGATATGTTTGCACGGAGCTCCATAAAAATTTTCTTATGGATCTCTTGCTGTAAGTTGAAGGCCATACATAGTTAAATCTTAAATACAATTTTTTTTCTAAATTATTAAACTCTTCCAAATAAATTTATGGAGCTAAACGATTAGTAGTGGAGGCTGAAAAAGTAACATTGTTATTTCACAATTTGGGTCAAATTTTATCACGTTTATGTAAAATCATATTTGTTTTCTGAGGATTTTCAGCATTTCATAAATATTCAAATTATTCAACTTTGTTTAATGTATTTGATTGGCCAAAACACTTTCTTCTCTTGTTTTAGCAAGTTTTTACAAACAAGCATACAAATTGACCCTCACTTTCTTATAGGTCCCACTTGCTGGAAGATATTCTTCTGCCCTAGAGAACCATATGAGAGCTCATCATAAAGTTGTTTACGAGGTAATTGAAGCATAAATCTTAAAATAACAGATGGTTCAATTATGTCGCTAACATTAAAGGGACAGACCAGCTATGTAAGGTAGTTGTGCCCCCCCCTTGGTAACATTGTGCCCCCCCGCTTTAAGAAAATTACATTAATTTAAGTTTACATAGTTAAAAAAGGTATCAATATTTTTGTTAAAAAAATGGGTTTATAAAGGGGGAGGGGCACAAAGTTGCCAATGGGGGGGGGGGCACAACATTTTTTTTTGCCTTGTTGAAAAATTCATATATTGTTTTGTCATCTCTTTAAAAATGACCGCCTCGCAGAGACCAGATACTGATATTGACAACGACGACGAAGAAGAAGAAGACGAAGACGAAGACGAAGACGCAGACGAAGACGGTTCCGAGAACAAGGATAATGATGAATTGGAGACTGATTCAAGTAAGATGTTTGAAGGATTAAAAAATCACCGATATGGAAAGGATTCAACCATTTCAGAATTGGAAATGAACTTTACTCAATTAGTTTTTGTTCAGGAAACATTAAGATAAAAAGTAAGATTCTAGAGGAGGAGAAGGAAAGGGGAAGATGTTTCAGGTTTGAATTTACTCGATCCTAAGGGGTTTTGCAGCCTTGCAGGGGTTTATATTTTGTGGAATTCGCGGCCCCCCACCCCCTCATTTAAGTTTGGAAGATGTGGATATGAAAATGCAAGTTTTTCTTTACTGTTCATACTACTTGCAGTAATATTTAGTCACTTCATAAAAATTAGTTGTTTTCCCCAATTCTTAACTGAACCTTTGTTGGAGCTAAAATGTTGATCTATGTTTAAACAAATTCTATTGACTCTCAAATATTGATTGGCAGCAGCATGCTTAAAGAGGGTGACCGTTATGTATGATAGTTGAACTCAGATAGCAGCACTATTGATTATTTTTTTGGGATTCATTTGATACCTTAAATACCCTTTTACAGTGGATATTTGTTCAGCAAGAGTGCAAATTCAATATTTAAAATCCTCATTGATTGTCCACTTTGAAGGGATGATTTTGAGAATTGGCTTCATTAAAATTATTCCAAAACAATGACAAGTTTAAGAAATTTCAACAGTAAAGTAATTAGATGTAGGAATATATTTATATTTGTCAATAAATCAATGTTAGAATCAATTGTTCTTTTTCATCATTGTTATGATTTTCTTATTTCAGAATTAGTTTGCAGGTTTCTTAAATTTTGAAAATATTTTAAACATTGTTACAGTACAAAAACTAATATCTAAATAAGATCACTTATTTTCGATGGTAAGAGTTCATTTTTTATTTTCAACCAGTTCCTAAACAACCAAATAGTTAACTGTAGAATTTGTTGTTCCATTTTTCGTGGTTGTTATTGAATACTTAAATTAAAGCGATTCTCAAAATCAATCCTCTTGCTGAGCAACTTTGGAAATTGTGATCGTAGGTCATCCTCCTGAAGCTGATATGATTTTAATATAAACAATCCCCCCCCCCCTTATCGTAACGAATGCTTATTTTAGTCATACACTGAATCTTGTGGTTTTGCGAGTGTCAAAGGATAGTGTTTTTTCACCTATGCTTAAGAAAGTAGAATCACTTGCCGGAAAGTTCAGTCACAGCCCTAAAGTTAGTATAAAAAGGATGTGGATTATTTTTCTCCAGTTATTATTTTGGATTCAATGCTTATTTTTGTTTGTTTGTTTTTAATATTCGTGACAGAAACAATCTCGAACTGAGGAGGGTCAACCCAGACCGAAATATATTTGCAATAAATGTAGAACTAACATCTACTTTTATACTCTACAGAGGTTTCATCCATTACCGTCACCGAATTTTAAATATACTTGTTATTGATGACAATTAGTTTTAATAATAATTTTAATAATACAATGTATCGATTGCTCTCACACATTGAATCCCAAGGCGGTTTACATTTCCAATGAATTTTATTTGTCTTGAGAGTATATGACATCCCTTTGTAAAAATAACGAATTATTTTTATTATTTATAACTATTTTTAAAAGGGGACGTGATTAAATGAAAACTGTTGCATATCAAAAAACCAGTTTTTTTAAAAAAGAATGCTTACTTTCGACACTACCAACTTGATTTTTTTTATACTGATACCAATATTTTGTTTTAATACTTTGAGTATATAGTACAGGAAGTAAAAAGTACTGTCCGTGTTGAAGAAATCTAAAACTGCCCAAAACGTGTTTGTGACAAGCTTCAGATTCGAAAACTACAAATTTGAAAGCAATTGAAAAATGGATGTTTAACATTTTGATATTTGTAAAAATACTTATGTTTTAATTTTTCCCACAATTATTGACATATTTTCATCCGACCATAGGACCAAAGCTTTCACTTTTTCAATGAGCTGGCCTTGATAATTTGGCAATGAACATGCATTTAAATTCTGTACCTTTCCGCAATTGACTTTTTCTAGGTGAATGTGGTGATGGCCCCCCCCCCCCCATTTTAAACATACATAGATTCAACCCACACCCCCTCCTCCATCCCCCACATTTATAGGTTTTAATTAAGTCTTTCAATATTGAAATAAAGTTGAGAACAAAAATATAGAAAGGGAACTAGATATATGAAGTCTGAAATTATGCTGTGCAGTAATCTTTAGAAAGGCATGTTTTTTAATGTATAAAAACAAAATTTGATTGAGATTTACAAGAATAATTATCGTTTAAAACAAGATGTAAAAATGCCCTTCATATTGTTAATATCTTAATATTCATTTCACCAAAATTATTAGGCGCAAGAGTTTCTCAGCAAAAAGTCCTCCAAGTCGATTAAATCTTTCGTTAGAACAAGGTGGATGTCTATGCTAACTGTAGTTCAAAGCGTAGGTAAATGTTTATCTAAATTTTCTTTTTAAAAAATTTCTGTTTCTCCTTTTTCATTTTTAATCCCTCTTCACCCTCTTTTTTCTTCTTAATTCTATTTTCTTTTTTCCTTCCCCTTTTCTTCCAATTTTCCCATTCCTTTTTCTTCATTTTTCCCCTTGAAAAAAATTTAAGGGATGCTGTTAACTCTCTTCCCCCCCCCCCCCCACCTATATACTGGGAAAGAAAATAGTGGATTTTAAAGACGTCATTTGTTATGTTAGTAAAGAATTTTGTGTAAAACATTAGATCTGTTTGTTTGTTTTTCTCCGGCCACAGTAAAGTAAAAGTAAGACTATTACCAATCAACAGCGAATAGGCTGTTTAGTTCACCCTAAAATTACCCAAATAAGTGAACGGTCCCTTTAATGAAAGAAAAACATGAATGAAACACCCAATCACATTGACCATTTATTTAAAAAAATAAACTTGATAAGTTAAATTTTTTTCAGGAATTAGTTCTGATGAAACTTTTTGTGGAACTTTTTACTCCGGCGATGGGTCACATCGATATCCTCGGTGGCGAGGAATTTTCAACAATTAACCAAGTTATTCCCAGTGTGAAGGTAGGGTAGGGTAGGGTAGGGTAGGGTAGGGAAGTTGAGTTTTCAAATTTTGCTGATAACTGATTGATCCATGAAGGCTTAGAGACCAATTCCTAAATCGTTTGACTAAAAACCATTAATAATTGGATACTAATGGCGAAATCTTTCTTATACTTAAGTCAATTTTTTTTAATGTGATACTAAGCTTTGTTTATCTGTGGAGTAGATATAAATTAAAATAAGTTAACCCTGAACAGGTTGGTTGGGGAGCGTTGGGGTTCTACCTAATCAAGTTTCACTTTTACGAATAATCAATCACTTTCTTTAATAATTAGAATGATGCTGCTAAAAAAAAGTTATGAACTTTTGTTGTGCTCCGCTACAAATACATATGTAATGAAAATATGATCTGACAGAATAATCAGTCATTTTTCCCATATCAAGGTATTCCCTCCAAAAAAAAATATGAACAAAATTTATTGTTTTTTTTAGGATATTCTCAACATTGTTTGGCATGTCGAGCGTCAAACGAGTCTGCCTAAGGGTGTCTGAGAGTTCTGCAGAGACTACCGTGCTTTGATTCATACCTATTTTAAGTAAGATTTATTTTTGAGGGAGAAGTGTGAATATTTTACCGGAAAATCATTTCTCAATGACAAATATTATTTTTCTTCAAAAAACAAATGCTAAAGCATATAACAAAAAATGTTTTTTCGCTAAAGTTACTAAAGACTAATTTTATAAAATTTAGTTTTTATGGCCTTGTTCGTACAAAAAAAAATTTTGTTGACTGTCGTGGAACAAAAAAATAAAAAAAAATATTTAAGATACTGTATGGATATGGACGATCCTGAGTATGAGCCGGTGTATGCTGAAGCAAGAAGTGTGGATCCGACACTAAGAGCATGTCTCAGTCTGGAGGAGATCAGTTTGAGTGAGGTATGTGAAAGAATTCTATAATTCTTACTCTTATTCTATTGATTTTGCCTGAAAAGAATTGAGTTTGTGCAACAAACTCTGATTTTTTAAAATCCTTTTATCTTTGCAACCCAACCTTATTTAAAAATATGAATTCTGTCAGATAAAGAAATCAAAGTTTAAAATATCAATGGACAGTTTTCCCATTAGAAATTTAAAACTGCAGATTTTCAATGCAGCCTTCTGACCCTACCTTCCCAGTTAAAATTAGACTTGGTTTCGCTCTCTTATACCCAGCCTTTACGGCGCCGCAAAACACTGCGTAAAACCTAAATCAAGGCTGCCTCCAGGCGTTGTGAGATCCAGATGGAAATACCCTTATTTTGATAGGTTCAATTTATTTTATAAAAAATAGTGCCCATCGTTTTTATGCAAGTTACATCAACAAATTGAGGTAATGCATAGAACTTTGTTAGTAAAAAAATTTTATTCAATGGTTAATATCTTAATTTTTAAGGATTGGTTGTTAAACAAGACGGTAAAGGCAACTCCAGCTCCTGTTCTACCAGCCCCTGTTTTAGCTAGAGCAGCCCCTGTCCCTGGGCCTGTGGGAAGATTTAAATATTTACAAGTGGTTAGTATACACAAGATTTTTGGGTAGACTTGTTGCAATGGGAAAGTGAGGGTTAATCTTGCATTTTCTAAAGAATTTACCGTAATAGCAAAAATTCAACATAAGTTTTGGGACATAATTGAATATTTTTAATATTGACAGAAATTATATATTTCCTGTAGTTCATTGCTGAATTAATTTATCCAAATTGTCAGTACTACTAGTAAAATAAATTCATCTTCTCAAAGAATAGACAATAAAACACGAATGTTTACTTCGATTGAAAAAAGATTTCCGCATTTTTAACCATATTTCTTCTGGCGAAGTATCAATAAGATTGTTTTCACTGCAATACTTTATTTTCTTCTGCATCTCAAAATTACTCAAAGAATATGTTTTCTTACTGCGAGAAAAATATAATTTGTATATTTCCGGGTTGTATATTTTCTTAATCATACCCCCCCCCCCTCTCTTGAACATTTTTTATTTTCTCTAAAAGTCAGGCTTGTTTGAGCGTAGCAAAAATGGGATATAAATTTATTTTAACGAGGAAAATATAATATTTTGTTTAAATGTATTAAATAGGATGAAACATAAATGGTCTTTTGGTTATTCAATTTTTCCTCAACTCATTCAGTCATTTTAGAAGATGAAAAAAAATTGGGTTGCAGTTTCTTTTAATGGACTGGAGACGTGAACTCCAGTACCCATGCAGTTTTTGTAGTGTTTATTATGAAACTTTGTGATTCAGGAAAGTTGTCAGAATTCTTAGCATAGGCGTCAGGCGATAACCTTATTCATTGTTAACCAGAAAGGGTCGATTGCTAAAATGTGCAGAAGATTACTTGAAATTACGTTGGAGTTCTGACTAGTCTACATCTACATTTTTGGCGGCCATTGACTATGTTTGATTTATATCTCCATAAATGTATTGCAAAATCAGCAGAAAAGTTGATTTTTCTGATGTTTTTGTTCAGGTTGATAGCTCGGATCAAGTTGACATCCTGAACCTAACAAAACAAGACATCCAGACGATGAAGAGAGAATTTGTGATATTTAGGTTAGTGAAGCTTCAGATCAATGTAGGAACTTGATTTACTTTTAAATGTTCAACGAACTTATAACTTTACACTTATTTTAACACTAGCATCACAATCCAAACATCAAAAATTCAGTTGATTCAGAGTCCAAATTTAATTTAAGCCCCTTCTCAAATTCCCCAAACCTCTGTTTAAATTCAGCCCCAGCTTAAAAGTTGAAACATTTTAAATTATTTTAAGGGAAACCAACCATGTTTGATCAGCGTCTCAAATTTAAGTCACAGTTAAAATTCTTTAATTTCTGGCTGTGAATGCATAGACTTGAAAAAACCTTCTGAGCAAAGATTGCTCAATTCACCCTTTTAAAACCTAAACTTTAAGATTAAGTATTAAGTAAATATCCCAGATTCTTTACAATGATTTTCTCTATCAAAAATCCGTGTTATAACAACCAATTATTTTAAATTAACATTGACCTGCTCATTGATTCAGTAGGGGGATCAAAGCAAATGAAACTGATCCGGCCAAATTTTGGTGAAGAACAAAGGCATTCTCAATAAACCTCCCAGAGGTAAGATATATTTTGTCAATAAACTGAGCTGGAAACTTGGTGGATATCGATCAATACTCTTATTTATCTTGAGACTACCGTAATTAATCGTGTTTTTATATTGAAAAGTGTGTAAAATTCAACCAATCACAGTAGAGTATCAGAAGCCTGGGAATTTGAAATTTTGTGCGTCATTTAAAGGGAGTGACCGGCTATGTAAGGTAGTTGAACTAAGCATGCAGTGTTGTGGAAAAATTCTTTCGGATTCATTTGGTACATATAAAACTTTTTAATGATCTGTAAATCCAGAGTTTGAGCGCAAATTCGATGTTCAAAACTCCTACTATGGGGGTGAATACGTTTTCAGAATTAGTTTATTAAAATAGTAAATAACGACAATGAAAAATAATTCTAGAAAATCTGCAAAAATCTTCGTGAATAATGAGAAACCAGAATAATGAGAAAATAGAAACTAATAATTGAACAAGATTACTTATTTTCGATGACAAGATTAATTTTTATTTTCTCAACATGTTCCTATACATGACGTCTGTAGTTTAAAGTAGACCTTTTTTACATTTTATGACGTCATTATTTAATAATTTATAAAACTGATTCTGAAAACGTATCCACCCAAAATTAATTGAATTTGCGCTCAAACTCGGGATTTGCAGATCTTTAAAACGTTTAATATGTCTCAAATAAATCTGAAAGAAGTTTTCCACAACACTGCATACTCAGTTCAACTACCTTACATAGCTGGTCACTACCTTTATTGAGGTCTCTCATCTAATTAAGAGTAATATACAGATACACAGGGACTCTATAATTTAGAAAAACCTTTTTTCTGTACTAAATTAAAAAAAAGTGGCTTAAAGGGACTGTAAAGGAAAAATGAAAGGGGGTATAGTCTGAAAGCTAATCACTTTAGCTCATGATCGCGACCCATGAAAGTTTTATCTGATGTTCCTGTCTCGAGATATTGATATAAAACTGTGTTAAATTATACAAAAGTTCATATATCTAAAATTTAGAGAATTTTAAACTTAAATCACGTGACCAGAACTATCACCAATGGCAGAGCAGTATACTGGTCACATGTCCCCGCCTGAATCACATGACCACTTTACTGCACTGCCATTGGTGGAATTTCTGGTCAAGTAATACGGACTTATAAATAATATTATGAATTAAATCTACTAAAAATAGAAATAACAAATATAAAATTAGAATTGGAGTACACCTAAGTCACAATTAGCTTTCTCTCGTATATCATCGTTTTCAGATTGGTTGCTTATTTGCTGAATTTGATCTATTTAAACCCACTACTTTTATACAAAATTGTATATATATTAATTTTCGTATAAATTTGACATGGTTGTATATCAATTTCTCGAGATAGGAACATCAGATATAACTTTCATGGGTCGCGATCAAGAGCTAAAGTGATTAGCTTTCATATTTCCTTTACAATCCCTTTAAGCAAGAAATTTAAGTATCCACATTGTATATTAAGATTAAGAAGTCTGAATTAAACTATTAAAGTTATCCCATTCTTAAGTTCCCAGCTATGGTAAAAAAATAAATTGATTCTTCAGCCAAAGTGTATTTATTTTATTAATCCTATTTTTGGATTAATTTCAAATTGACTTTTATTTAGAGCTGATGAAAATCTAAAATGGTTAATTTGAAAAGTGTACTTATTTTTAAAATCAATAAGATAAACTTGAAAATTAAAATTGATGAAGGAAATGCGGTTTTAAAAAACATATCCCTGCCATGGCGAACTGAAGCTTTGATTTTTTTTCGAAAGATGTACATTCTCATGAACTTCATTCAGGTGTGTCCCTGCAATTTCTACTCCATCAAATAGACTTTTCAGCCAAGCAGGGCTCCTATCCAAAGACAAATTTGGCAGGATAAATCCCGAAACCCTTGAGTCAAGGGTACTTGGCAAGATAAATTGCCTAACTATGCAGGAATGGCTTTCATTAGTTTTAAAGTTAATATTTTTAAGGAACTCAATCTTTGGGATAAATTGAGATTATGGGGATTAAAGGGGATGCTAAGCGTAATTTCAAATAACCAAAGAATGGCATACTAGCTTGATTAGGTAGAATGTATTGTATAATTTATCCAGTTAAAAAATCCCGTTTTTGCGGATAATTCTTAATTCCTTGATAAAGAAGTATTAAAAGGAGTGACCGGCTATGTAAGATAGTTTAACTGAGTATGCGGTGTTGTTTAAAAACTTTTGTCGGATTCATTTGAGACATATAAAACTTCTGTAAAACTTCTAGATCTGTAAATCCTGAGTTTGAGTGCAAATTCGACGTTCAAAACTCCTACTTTGGGGTTGGATCCGTTTTCAGAATCGTTTAATTCAGTAAAAATTATACAGTAATCTTATTAGATGGTTAGGAACACATTTCTCAAAAAAAATTGGTCAATAAATCAATGCTAAAATCGATTATTTTGTTATTTATCATATTGAATTTCCTATTTTCTTTGAATTTATTCGCAGATTTCTTCAGTATCTTAAAATGTGGTCTTTTCTATAATAATTCTAGAAAATCTGCGTAAATCTTTGTGAATGAGAAAATAGAAACTAATAATTGAACAAGATTACTTATTTTTGATGATAAGATTAATTTTTTTTTCTCAACATGTTCCTATTCATGACGTCTGTAGTTTAAGGTAGACCTTTTTTACATTTTATGACGTCGTTATTTAATAATTTAAAAAAACTAATTCTGAAAACATATCCACACCCAAAGTAGGAGTTTTGACCAGCGCTCAAACTCTAGATTAACAGATCTTTAAAAAGATTTATATGTCTCAATTGAATCCGAAATATCAACAACACTGCATACTCAGTGCAACTACCTTACATAGCCGGTCACTCCCTTTAATGTAACTTTTAATAATCCAATATGCCTTGAAAATACCGCAGAACCCAAAAAAAAAAAATTTACATTTTTTACATTGGTGTATGATGTATGAAAATCGAAAACGTTGTTGCATCGATGAAATGTATCCGTTTAAAGGTTGAAGGTTAACATTGAAATTCCAGAAGGGCCACTGCAAGAAAAGTGGTTTAAAATTACGATTACAGCCCCTTTAAGCATTAATTAGGAAATCAGTCTGCGTCATTTTTTAATTTAATGTTTAGGTAAAAATAATCGTTAAATGTTTCTGTCTTGTGTGGCGTATGGCAAGTAATGTTTTTGTTTATACAATAATTATTTTAACGGGACTTTCTTGACATAAAGCCATTCCTGTGCAGTGAGTAGAGAAAATGATTACTAAATAATAATCCTTTAAAATGTTTAGCTAACATTTTCCTGAGAGGGGGGTAGAGATTTTAAGTACGACAATTTCAGGGGCAGCTTACAATATTTACAGGGGGGGGTGGGGGTAGACAATCAAGCGATTGCACTTAAATTGCACCCAAAATTATAACCCTCTGGAATTTGGTAAATTCTAAGACCAAATCATGACAAGCAAGGGGAGAAATGTGCGACCAAATTTCTGATATTTATTAATTTTACAAAACATCATTTACTTCTTGGGAAATGTTTTTTAATCAAATCACAAAAATGAAAAATTAAAGGTTGGCAATTGCTTACACTCCCTAAATATTTAAGGGGTATATCCCCCTTTACCCCACCCCTTCTTATGGAGCCCTGGGACTATTGTTTAATTGAGAAGAGAACCCCTGGACCATGTGAGCCTCCACTATATAGATACAAGATACTCAGACTTGCTAGGTGGACCGATCCTCTGCCATGCAGTGAGAGCCTCCGCAATACAGTTATCAAACCTATGTTATACTGATTTTTTAGTGTGAAAAATATTCAAATTTTTATATACCTCTTCATTAGTCAATATTAGCCACTATTTATGATAATTGATAAATACTTTCATATGAGAAAAAATATTTTATTTAAACTTTTTTATTTAAACTTTAAAAACAATTTTTAGTAAACCTGTATTACACAGGCACATTTTCATGTATTGTTCATGCTCATTTCTGTAAAGTGGAGGCTTGATCTGCCTAGCAACTCTGGGAGGCTTGTCTGCATAGCAGAGGTTTATGGTGTCTGGGGTTTTCCTCTCATTTTTAAAAAAACTCCATATTTTAACATTTATAGTAAACCTCTACCCCCAAGGACACTGTAGTGACTAGTGTGAATCAATTTTAATGTATATTGTGACACCCTGAATAACATTGCTGTGGAAGAATTTTTTTTTAAGCACCAGGTTTAGTGAAACTAATGGGCCCTTTTTTGTTAAAAATACTAGTTTGAAACTTTTTAAACTTATTCATGTCTTTGCTTTTTTGTGTAAATCAAACTCACTATTGTAAACCAGAAAATGGTCGATATAAAATCCGTCCGCGGTGAGGAGCTTGACGTCAGAGTTGGAACTGTTGTTGGAAGACTTCAAACACAGAAAAACGGACACTGAAGCTCCAGAATCTATCAAAAATTTGCGTTTGCTTAATGAATCCTGTAGATAGATCAGGCTGGAGTTTCTTGAACTGCCGGCAGGAAGAGAAAAGGATTCCTCCCGCCGGCCAGCTAGTTTCCCGACCAGGAGCAGGGTTTACGGCAGTTTGAAGCATTCTCACCGTGAGTCCTATGATACCAGCAAAGGTTTGAAGCAGGACGACGACTCGTTGTAGCTGAAGACGAGTTTGATGAAACACTAGAACGACGATCTCTGTTTGCACTGCTTGGCCCCCTAATGGCGTTGACGGCCTGAGGATTCAAGGTTTCTTCAGAGGACAGAATGTTGACCGGAGCGGAGGCAAGATTGTGGTAAAATTCATCTGCCTTCAAACTAAGAGCACGAGGGTCGGATATATCTTCCTGTAGGAGGTGTGCACGTACATTTGCAGGTAAACGGCGTAGGAACAAACCTCGAAAAATGAAACCAGGCTTGAAATCCTCCGGGAGCAGGGCGAGCATCCTGTTCATCAGGTGAGACGGCTTCTGATCGCCAGAGAGTGGTAGAGAAATTAAACTCTCGAACCTCTGATAGTCATCGAGACCGTAGGTCTTAACTAACCGTGCTTTAAGGACCTCGTAGGGTTCAGAGGCTGGAGGAACTCGAATGAGATCTAACATCTGAGAGGCTACTTCCTGAGACATTGCAGCCACGCAGTGGTAGAACTTGGTGGTGCTGCTGCTGATCCCTTTGATATTGAACTGGGCCTCGGCCTGGGCGAACCAAACTTCCGCAGATTCAGGCCAAAAAGGGGGAAGCTTGAGGGCAACAGCTCCGACACTGGGCAGCGCCTCACCAGATTGGGTGGCCATAACACTTGGCAATCACACCAAAAAAGGTTAATTCACCGTTTCTAATCTTACTTAAGGAGTGGACTGTGGAAAAAACAGGGAGCCCGGCTCACTTCAGAAAAGAGTGCGGCGAGAAAAAAAAGTCTATTTATAGCGAAAAAAATAACGTACGGAGTTGATCACGTCGGGGTCACCAGATTTAGCGACGGCTAAATAAAAGACGAAAGTCAAAAAACAACTAATATATTTTTACATGAAATAGAACAAAAAAACTGGTGACTTTTATATATATTACATGAGTTTAGATCAGGTAAGTACTTGCAGACATTACGGCGGAAAGTACGACGACTTGTCCGCCACAGTTTCACAAAATCCGTCTTGAAATATTGAGTTCAGAAACGTTAAATTCGTAAAAATCCTATACAAATGTAGCAAAATTTTGGAAAGATATTCTTAATCAAAACAATTTTTGAAATCTCGAAAATCGGCCAAACGGGCGGTGTTCAGCGTTTCAAGAGGCAACTTTTGATACCCATATCACTATTACTATTGTTAAATCTCCTGTTTATGTAAATTGTCATATTATATGTGAAATTGTGAATAAAACCATATTCTACATCTACTAATGTTTTAATGCTAAACCTAGACAAGAAGTATACCAAGGATTATTCAAAGTAACCTGTTTGATTTGATTGAAATCGAAATTGTTGTATTGCAGAAACCATATCTTTAAGATAATGAATTTTAATAAGTAAAACTTGATAATTTAAGAATTTCTTTCCATGGGAAAGGTCAATTATTTTTGACAAGGTTTATTAATTTTTGACTACAGAAGAATACCAGGTTTAACAATTCAGTACAAAAGATTGCAAGAAATTCTATTTATGAGAAAGAAAAAAAGATGAATAACTTAATGATTGATGATTGATACCTGTGGCGTATAATGGTGTAAATCATTCATTCTTAACAATTTTTATAAAGCGTAATGGTTGAAATGATTAACGTAACATAATGTTAGAAAGTGCATTTAAAGTTTCCCTATAGCATAACGTTAGAAAGACCATGCACGTAACATTTCCCTAAAGCATAACGTTAGGAAGACCATGTAAGTAACGTTTCGCTAGTACGTAACGTTTGGTAGAGCATATATGTAACGTTACCTCATTGTGTAACGTTAGAAAGAGTATGCACGTAATGTTCCCCTAGTACGTAACGTTTGGTAGAGCATATACGTAACGCTACCTCATTACGTAACGTTAGAAAGAGCAAGCACCTAACGTTTCAATATTGCGTAACGTAAGAAACTTCCAGACCCTGGAAGGGTTCAGTAAACGTAAAGGGAAAATATTCAGACGACTACGTTTTAAAAAGTGTAACATAAGTAGTAAATATATAATTCTTAACATCATGGAAAATTTTAACGTTATAATGCAACATAATGCTTTAATACGTAACGTTTCTGAAATAGGCATAAACTACGTGATGGAAATACGAAACGTTTGTATGATTTAAGATATAAAATAGTGTTAAAGTGTAACGTATGTTCTACAAAAAATCTATTTCGGAGAAATGTGTTACGTTGTAAATTTGTTCAAATTTCAATAAAACTTTAACACAACGTTATGAAAATTTTTGAAATTGTGAAAGCAAAAACGTAACTGAGCTAAAAAAAAAAAAAAAATTTCATAATTCTAACGTTGTTCAGGAAATTCAAGGGCATAAAATCCAAAACGTAATGTTTCTTTGTGGAATACAATTTCAAAATGTCTAACGTAACTTTTCTAACGTTAGGTGCTTAAGCTGAATTTATCGTAACGTATGCTAAAAATCGAAAAAGTCGAAACGTTGACATCTCTAGCACGTGTCATGCTAACTCTGTGACCCACGTACTCCTAAGGGAGGCAGAGGGTTGCCGGGAGGGGTGGTTTCCTGATAACATTAGTGTTATTGGGATGTCCTGAAAGATAGATAGATCTATTGCTTATGGAGTAAGAAAATTCACAAATGAAAATACTTAATTTACAAAAACATTGATTTAAATCATACTTATCGGAAAAAGCTTTTAAGAGCACCATTATGACTCAGACATGACGTACTATCAATTGAGGGTTACTTGAAATACCCTTAACAGTCCCTTTAGAATTAAATTAAATTTGTACCTACTTCCTTAACTATAGTAAGCATGGCTTCTAGAAATAAGATTCTTCTCGTCTACTCAGCATTACTGATTTACTTGTTTTCTCCGTACACTTCACGACCAATATAGGAGACGTCAAGTTGTCAACCAATATAGCTTTTATGGAAGGAACAGCCACAGTTGTGGACATTTCTATTACTTTTAAGTTTCTACATATGTTTCTCCTTGAGAGGATGGACAAATACTGATCTATTCGAAGCCTTGCCGGTACATGAAATAGCAGTTAATATATCTGATATTGTTAATTTAGTCTACTCTGTCGGATTTACTACTACAGCGGTGTATTTATCGTATCTGCGACAGATTACTATGGTGGGGAAAATTTTGTATATACTACAGCGGTTCAGAATTTCCGCAGTCGTATGTACGACAGATGTACTAAGGCTGGGAAAATTTTGTATATACTACAGCGGTTCAGAATTTCCGAAGTCGTATATATATAGAAACAATTATACTATGGCGGGAAAAATTTTGTTTCTACTACAGAGGTTCAGAATTCCCCGCCATCGAAACTGTGACAATTGCACTATGGCGGGGACATACAGTATATACTATTGCGATACAGTGTACCCCCTGCCATCGCATTTACGACGGCAGAAAACCAACTCTGGCGAAGATTTAATGTTAGCTGGGTATTGAACAGCTCACGTACAAACTTATATGCTTTTGCTGAATAAAAATGCAACGTCAATGCAAATTTGCGAATGGATTCGTCATAATCACACTGATTGTCCAAGATTTTCTTTAAAAGCTGTAAAGGTGTTAGATCAGCTGCATATGATATGTGATTTTGCTTCTCTTAATCGATGTTGAACTTTTCATAAGCTTCAGATAACTTTTGCTGCAAATTTATTATTGCCTCCTTGGCTCGTTTTAGTTTCTTGTTGGAGTTGTAATATTTTTCTTTAACTTTAAACCCTTCTCAGTAGCTTCATCCAGTTTTCGTTTCCAAGTTTTTGAATTATCCACCGAGTATGAATGCTCCCCACTGAAACAAAATTCATCCTTAACCCTATCCCTGCTGGGGTACTTGAAAACCAGGATACGCTGGGGGGGTCAATTTGACCCCTCCCCCTCTAAATCCCATGTTTTATGTCCAAATATGACAAATGATACATCATTAGAAAGCTCTTGTGCTCTACTTTGCAAATTTGCAAAAATTGAATTTTTTATCGCAAAATCCAGTTTTATAGTAAAATGTTTGCAAAAAAATTTGTCCAAAAAATGACAAATTATACATTTTTGAAAAGCCCTTGACCATGCCATTTCAAATATGCAAAAAATTTTGCAAAATTTTAAATAACCTGATTTTTAATCAAGAAAAACTAAAAGTGTGCAAATTTCCTTTGACAGGTTGTTTGGGTGTGAGACTGTATAAGGGAGCTGTTTGAGTACTGTAGGTTGGGATTGCTATCCCACTGAATGAAGGAACTTCATGGCTCTTATAGGATAGTTATTCTTTTCCAGAGTTAAATAAAGCTGCTTGGCTAGCATTTCTAAATATAGAATAAAAGTTGCTTAAATAAAGGTAAAATGTTTCATAAAAAATTTGTAACATTTACTAAATAAAACTTGTTGACTGGTTAAAACGGGATTTCTATCAAAAAAACTGCCAAATAGTTTTACACTGATTTATACCCAGGGGCATATACAGGATTGAATTCTTTGATGGCGGGGCCAGTTAATAATGTGGTGTTCATAAGCTTTAGAGGGGGTAAATGAAATCTCTAGGGGGGGGGGGGGAGAATTGCCCCACAGGCCCCCTTCTGTATACACGCCTGCTTATACCATTAAGATACTTTTATAAAACAAATTCTCTCAAACCACTACCTGTATATTTGATTACATAATGCATATTTTAAAAAAAATAATCTGATAATTATAGCAGGAAACTCAAAACCAGAGGGACATGCAAGAGCTTTATTTCAGAGAAAGTGGTTTCCATTCATTTCTACATCCATATCTCCTGTGGCAAAGTGTCTGGAGCAAACATGAAAGTTTTTTAATATTCTCCAACCATCAGGATCAGGGTTGCTCTGCAACCAGCGCTCCTTTGTCTGAGGATTTGATGGAAAAAAAAATTTACTGTTTTTTCTTTAGAATTTCTTCTACATGACTTTACAGCGCATACTCTATAGCCCATTCTGATCTGAAAATTTATTATTATTATTATTATGTTTATTAAAACACCTATGAATTTTGTACATAATTTATTTTTAGTATTTATTTAGGGTTAGCCTAGGACAGGCTAGGGGGCCGAGCATTGCTGTCGCATGTCTTACATTTAAAATCCATGTACAAAACTGATAGGAGGGTGGGTCCAAAAATTGCTCTCTAGGAAATAATCCAAAATCTTTCGGATTATATTTATATATATTAATTTAAAAATGTCCAAAAATAGAAACTTAAATCACTAAATAGTGTCAAATATGTCAACGTGAGCCCTATTGAATAGTGAAAATTATTATTTTCGTGAATTATTTTTGTAAAACCACTGTAATTCATTAATTTTAAGAAGAAACACAATGTGAGATTTGGTCTAAGTCACTATATATAAACCCACTGTGTACAGCTGATATTGCAGAAAAAGTGTGCACAACATTTACGATAACCCTAAATACTACAAGAAAATTGATTGATTATCTTAATTTATACAAGTATATATAGCTGTATGATTAGTAAATCTCAACCAAGCTACCTAGACAGAACAGACTGCGCCAACAGTTTATCCTATAGTTTATCCATGCTTTCTTGGTAAATCTTCAGGATGTTTGACCAATGGAGTGCCCCAAGTTAATTCTTCAGAACTGTCTAATTTTATCAT